TCATCCAGATATGCAGCGGCTCCAGAAACGCCCAGTAGCATGGTATCCATCAACCGTTGGAAAATGGCTGGTGCCGTTTTTACACCAAAGGGTAAGCCGTTGTGTGTTAATCGTGTGTGTTAATCGTCAACAACTCCCTCGAGACTTCGTCAAAATCCACTTGAAGGTAGGGATCAGATTAAGCTTAGCAAAGCACTTACCACCATTCAGTTTTGCAAATATCTTCCGGTACGGGTAATAAATACTGGTGGTCGTCCAGCGCGGTGTTAAGGCCAGTTGAGAAATCAGCGCAGATGCGTACCTTGCCATTTGCCTTCTTCACTGCGACAATAGGTGCGGCCCATAATCAGTAGTTGACGGCACGTTCCGGTCACTCGAGTTCTTGATCAACGGTTGACTTGGCTGCATATGGTACCGGTCTTTTAGCCTTGAACACTGGTTTAGCACCTGGTCGCAAGCTCAGCGTTGCCTTGAATTTCGTGCAATGGCCCAAGCCATCCTGAAAGACAGAGGCAAATTTTCGCTTCAGCGAACGTGTCATGTCTTCGACGGACTTTGATGATGGGTCTGGACTTGCTAGAACTCGGTTGCAGATCTGATTCAAGGGACCATCAAGGAGTTGCAACTTTTCAATCCAGTCGAGACCAAGAAGATTCAAATTCGAACGGTCTGAAATGTAGCACGTCCCCGACTTTTCCACATCTTTGAAAGCAATCTTGCAAGTAAGTTCGTCCACTAAATTTAACACACCGCCGGATGCATTATGTGCAACTTTCTGAGATTTGACCAACTTTGGCCTCTTTATGTGATTCCATGTGTTCTTGGAAATAATCGTGATGTCCGAGGCCGTGTCAAATTGCAGTTTCGTTGGGATGCCATTGACCAACACCTGATAAATTGTCGTCTCGGTTTACACTCACTTTGGAATGCGGCAACTATGGACAGACTCTGCGCCATCCTTCATAGAATTCCCTTTTCGATAAAACTACTCGTTTTTCGGCCGGACCTGACTGCAGAGTTCCTCCTTATGCTCAAACTTATGGCACGTTTGACAAATATGACGTTTGAACGGAAAAAAGCTCGCGAAATGCCATTCACCGTGGGTGGTTTGTTCGTAGCCCTTTGAAGGGTTTACTTGGGTTGACAGTCCTGGATTCTTCACGAAGTGCACGATATCTGGTGGTGTGAGAGCATTTCGTTCGACCAGGGCAGTGTCGTGTTTTAGGGTGAGCAACCGCTTGCATTCGCGTACGGGGGTATTCAGAGTCAAATCAGGATCCTGATCCAGCTTAACTAAATGCCGCTTGCTGATCTCAGCATCACTGGCGGATTGTAGAGCGCTGACGAAAATAAGACACTTAAATGATTTTCCGTCAGATCCTTCGGCTGTTTGCGCAGAATGTGGTCTGTGAACCTTGAATGGTCACTTATTCCGAGCTTGCGGAGTATTATTCGCACCTTCCAGGAGTCGTCCTGACGAATGAAGTCCGTCCGGAACATATCTTCCCAGCGCTTGAACCACACTTCGAATGTGCATCCAGAATCCATGTAATAATTGAATTCGGTGATCGCATTCGTGAGATCAACAGAACTCGCCTGCATGTCCCGCGTCGCCGTTCCTGTTGTCTGCAAACTCAAGCATTGTGTCAGATTATCGATCATTTTCATTTGTGCCTCCATTTGAGATTGTTGTTGGAAAAGAAACTGCTTAGCATAAAAATTCATCACATTTCCAATTTTCTCCGTCGCCATTTGTTATAATCTTCTCACTGGGTGTGATTCCGAAATTGGCACTTTACTGCTCCACAAAACTTCTAGCCCAACAGAAGGAAAAAGCAGAACGCCAATGACCTTGACAAAATAACGTATTAACCGCAGTCAACAAACACTGTACAACTACCGCGGACCTTGGCTGTATTTATAGGTCTCATACTGACCTTCGACTTCTAGAATTGGAAGGTCAGCTACCAAGCTTAGTGCTTCCCCATAGTTATGGCTGAGGTGTCAGGTGGTTTGTCGTCACGTGCAGAAAATAGAAAATTCCAGAACGTTCGAAATCGATGCGATAATCGTTAATAATCGATTAATCGCTAAAATAGTGGATTTTCTAGGAAATTCTTAATTTCTCCCGGACAGAGCGGTAGTCACACCTGTGTGCAGTTGATAGACCATTTCTCGCGAACACTAACTTGCGACATCGCACTCGCCGGAGGTGCACACCAGTCACAGATCAGCTGTGGGGGCTAAATAGTCAAATTACGATCATTTGCCGAAAAGGAGGGTGCGATTAGGACTATTGCTCGATTTTTGGCAAAAAATAACTATGACCAAGTGTTTGTGCTTGCCCATCTCCAGATGTGTTTCGGCGGACGCCATCGATGAATCTGTGAGCGCACAGACATCCATCAACTGGCGAAGTCAGGTGTTCGAAGGCGTATGAAACTGCGCTGGCATACGGGTTGCATAAGTGCTCACTGAAGACAGTTGAGAGTTACTGGTCGCATATATGCCAAACGTTATTAGGAGCAGGCACGTCTTCCTGAGGCATATTTGACTGCCAACCTGGACGATGAGTACTTAAGCCGACGCGTTTCGGCTGGAAGCGAACACAACGACAGCCACAAAGACCTAAGAGCGAAACTGCGTGGTAGCCTGAAGAACAGCGAAAACAGGTGGTCTAACGGTGCATCGGAGAAGAAAATAATTGTTGCTCTTTGCAACCAGCCAAGTTATCCAGTTTGATAAAGGAAATTGTTAGCAGGAGACATGATGTTAGCGACGAGATGGGATAAACTATTCACTGCCTGTCAAAACCCTTGAAGATTGGGTTGAGGACTTTGGGAAGCAAATTTAATTGACAGAAATTGCTAGAATCGCTACCGGCTAGTGACCACCCTGTTCCCTGGAACGTCGCCTTGAATCCTCAGAAATGGAACTTGAGATCAGACTGTTGAAACTGTGGGAGGCTGCAGAGGCAGGTGGACATCCTTCAGTCCTCTCCGAATTCGGCAGATCAGCCACTGTGGATGATTAACACAACATACTAGTGAAACTGTGGGAGCAAGAGACTGTCCCAACAGACTGGAACCGCTTTGTTATAGTCCTAATTTCGAAGCGGTCGCACACTCGGAATGTCGCAACCATAGAGGTATCAGTCTGATCTCAATCGCTTTTAGGTTGCCTGCGTCTGTCGTTCTCCTTGACTGACTGGCATACGTGGAAGGCAGGTTCGTAAAGAACAAACCCAGTTTCATAGAAATCGTGACTGTACTAACTACATCCTCACATTACGCCAGTTGTTGGAACACCGCCATAGTTATTGGCTATCAACCATAGCCGTGTTCCTAGACAACAAACATGCACTCGATTCGGTGGATCGACGTGGCATTTGGGACTGACTTCTTAGGGAAGGTATCCGATAAGTACGTAGACATTATCAGAGTGCTGTATGCGCCTAGTTCGGGTAGAGTGGTGGCTTATGGCAAACCGTCGCCGCCCTTCAATATCTCCAGAGGTATGAGACAAGGCAGCCCACTGTCATCTTTCCTCTTTTACTTGCCATCGACGGAATCATGGAAACTGCGTTCACTAGACAAGACTTGGAATGGGTGAAACTTCATCCAGTTGATGGACTTCATGACCTGGAGTACGTCGATGATAGAAGAAGGCATCATCAGTACGTCGGTAAGCAAAACTGACGTTTCGCTGCCACCAACCATCGAGAGTCGCTCGGTCTCCTACGCACACTCGAATCCACGACTTTCGGATTACAAAGCAGACGTGTGATCCCGTTGATCAAAGGCCGGCTCCGACGATACTGCTCTATTATGTGACAGCTCTTGAACGTGCCAAGCAGCACTGGATAAATCAGCATCGGTTATTAGTCGTTTCGAGCAATGCTTTGCATCCTCGAAATGCAAAATTCTCCAAAAGGATCAGGGATGCACCCTTGCGCTGACCGTTGGTAGTGATAGTCGTCGAAAAGAGATCCGACAAATCACCGTAGACACTGACGCAGCCTGTAATGTTCAAGTACGGACCACATAAAATGTTCACATATTTTATGGGAACACCATTCCGCGCAAGTGTTGTGAACCGAATGGATCGACCGACTGAATCGAACACACATTCGAAGTACAGAAACACAGCTATTGTTGGCCAACAGTATGCGTGGAGCTGCTCTAGCACCTGCTGCAAAGTGTATAAGTAATAAGTCAGCTGTACGCCGTAACGGCGCTTCGCTGCCGCGCGACCACCAGTCGCGCGCGGGCTGTATACCACCAGGACTCCCATGTCTGCTCTTCCCTAATCCGGGGCTCCTGTTCCGCAGTGAGGCGACGAACGAGAATTGAGGCCAGAAATCTTGTCACTACGGGTGTTAGGCTAACACCTCTGTGGTTTGCACAATCCGCGCGACTGTCCTTCTTGTATATTGCCACTATGATTGATCCACTCCAGTTAGCCGGGACGGTTTCCTCCTTCCATACATGTGCGAACAGTGAGGTCAGTGCTTTGCAGAAGACCTCACCACCATCCTTAAAAAGTGAAGGTGACAGGAAATCGGGGACAGTGGCACGAAAACGAGTGAGGGCTGTGATTGCGTTTCGGACCTCAGCTTCCAAAGGGGCCTCTAAACTAACCGTCCATGGGTCACCCTGCATCACCTGAATAGGAAAAGGTCCGGAAGTAAGTGGCCAACTGAACTGTTATTGAAAGTGTTCCGCCAAAGGAGCCATACGGCGCTCTTTATTGTGAACTAGACTACCCGCGCTGCCTGATTATCTCACTGATACCTGGTTTCCTGGGACCAGTGGCAAGGAGCAGCTAAAAGAGTTTGCGAAAGTTCCCTACTGCTCCCGCCTCCTCGATTTCTTGAGCCCTACTGGTCCACCATGCTTCTTTGTCAGCGCGCAGGCTTCGCTTTAGTTCGCGCCTAATAGCCCATCTGATCACACTGTGCTCAGAGCATGCCGGGAGTTTCCTTCTGGATTCCAACAGAATCACCGACCACGGAAAACCGCCTCGACCCCTCCCCCCCCCCCCCCCCCCCCCCCCCCCCCCCCCCCCCCCCCCCCCCCCCCCCCCCCCCCCCCCCCCCCCCCCCCCCCCCCCCCCCCCCCCCCCCCCCCCCCCCCCCCCCCCCCCCCCCCCCCCCCCCCCCCCCCCCCCCCCCCCCCCCCCCCCCCCCCCTCCCCCCCCCCCCCCCCCCCCCCCCCCCCCTCCCCCCCCCCCCCCCCCCCCCCCCCCCCCCCCCCCCCCCCCCCCCCCCTCCCCCCCCCCCCCCCCCCCCCCCCCCCCCCCCCCCCCCCCCCTCCCCCCCCCCCCCCCCCCCCCCCCCCCCCCCCTCCCCCCCCCCCCCCCCCCCCCCCCCCCCCCTCCCCCCCCCCCCCCCCCCCCCCCCCTCCCCCCCCCCCCCCCCCCCCCCCCCCCCCCCCCCCCCCCCCCCCCCCCCCCCCCCTCCCCCCCCCCCCCCCCCCCCCCCCCCCCCCCCCCCCCCTCCCCCCCCCCCCCCCCCCCCCCCCCCCCCCTCCCCCCCCCCCCCCCCCCCCCCCCCCCCCCCCCCCCTCCCCCCCCCCCCCCCCCCTCCCCCCCCCCCCCCCCCCCCCCCCCCCCCCCCCCCCCCCCCCCCCCCTCCCCCCCCCCCCCCCCCCCCCCCCCCTCCCCCCCCCCCCCCCCCCCCCCCCCCCCCCCCTCCCCCCCCCCCCCCCCCCCCCCCCCCCCCCCTCCCCCCCCCCCCCCCCCCCCCCCCCCCCCCCCCCCCCTCCCCCCCCCCCCCCCCCCCCCCCCCCCCCCCCCCCCCTCCCCCCCCCCCCCCCCCCCCCCCCCCCCCCCCCCCCCCCCCCCCCCCCCCCCCCCCCCCCCCCCCCTCCCCCCCCCCCCCTCCCCCCCCCCCCCCCCCCCCCCCCCCCCCCCCCCCCCCCCTCCCCCCCCCCCCCCCCCCCCCCCCCTCCCCCCCCCCCCCCCCCCCCCCCCCCTCCCCCCCCCCCCCCCCCCCCCCCCCCCCCCCCCCCCCCCCCCCCCCCCCCTCCCCCCCCCCCCCCCCCCCCCCCCCCCCCCCCCCCCCCCCCCCCCCCCCCTCCCCCCCCCCCCCCCCCCCCCCCCCCCCCCCCCCCCCCCCCCCCCCCCCCCCCCCCCCCCTCCCCCCCCCCCCCCCCCCCCCCCCCCCCCCCCCCCTCCCCCCCCCCCCCCCCCCCCCCCCCCCCCCCCCCCCCCCCCCCCCCCCCCCCCCCCCCCCCCCCCCCCCCCCCCCCCCCCCCCCCCCCCCCCCCCCCCCCCCCCCCCCCCCCCCCCCCCCCCCCCCCCCCCCCCCCCCCCCCCCCCCCCCCCCCCCCCCCCCCCCCCCCCCCCCCCCCCCCCCCCCCCCCCCCCCCCCCCCCCCCCCCCCCCCCCCCCCCCCCCCCCCCCCCCCCCCCGCCCCCTCCCCCCCCCCCCCCCCCCCCCCCCCCCCCCCCCCCCCCCCCCCCCCCCCCCCCCCCCCCCCCCCCCCCCCCCCCCCCCCCCTCCCCCCCCCCCCCCCCCCCCCCCCCCCCCCCCCCCCCCCCCCCCCCCCCCCCCCCCCCCCCCCCCCCCCCCCCCCCCTCCCCCCCCCCCCCCCCCCCCCCCCCCCCCCCCCCCCCCCCCCCCCCCCCCCCCCCCCCCCCCCCCCCCCCCCCCCCCCCCCCCCCCCCCCCCCCCCCCCCCCCCCCCCCCCCCCCCCCCCCCCCCCCCCCCCCCCCCCCCCCCCCCCCCCCCCCCCCCCCCCCCCCCCCCCCCCCCCCCCCCCCCCCCCCCCCCCCCCCCCCCCCCCCCCCCCCCCCCCCCCCCCCCCCCCCCCCCCCCCCCCCCCCCCCCCCCCCCCCCCCCCCCCCCCCCCCCCCCCCCCCCCCCCCCCCCCCCCCCCCCCCCCCCCATCCCGCCTGTTGTCGCGTTCTGTCGTACATGCAAGATAGGGCTTTTGTGGTTAGGATTCACATTGGTGGATGTAACGAGTTTTGTGTTCCCGCTTTTAAGCGGCCGTGCTACGGTAGGCGGCACATTAATCGTTTTTTG